ATTTTGGTTTATAAATAATTGTATAATTTATGCATATAATATTATTTATTATTTTCACATATAATTATCAAGAGTATATTAATGGGAGTTCTCCATATATACTCCTTTCGTTTCATAATTAACGTCGATGGTTGCTGCAATTAATAATCTGACTTCTTGCTCCACTCACTCATTTGTGTCTTTTTTTGTGGTGAGCTCCGCTAAACAGTGTCATTGGACGTTTCATTTATAGTGAGAGTGCTAACGTGCACAGCCTACTTGCCCTTGCGCGCCGCGTAACTGGTACCGCGTGAAGCAGTGTAAATATGGTGCGAGCGGACCCATGCTCTTGTGAAAGGTGGTTAGGTTGATAATGTTTGGGTATGTCGAATTTTAGTTTTAATTGCGAGCATACGAGTATGTATTTATAATTTGAATTTACACCTTGAAGCAGTGTGTGAACTATGATTGCTATAATATGGCAATAATTGGTATAATATTTATTAAAAACTCTTCTCAGCATAGTCAAGTTAAACATCGTCTGCTTAGAGCAAACACCACCCTTACCTCACCGTCTACACTTCCATATGGAGGCGATCTAGTTCTAGAAATCGGAATACGTTCCAAGTATCTACTCTACAAGCTATTACTACTTGCGGAGCGACTGCTACTGCTGCTGCTGCTGGCTAGTACAATTACCTAACTACAGTAGTAGGGCTATTACTGCTCTGCTGCTGCTGCTGCTGCTTCTGTGCAAGTAAGGGAACTACTCATGTGCTAACATTTACTATTTACTACTACTATACCTGTGCTATAAGCAACACGGCATACGATGCGCAGCAGCACAGCGCGACGTCGACGAGTGGCTCCACCTACTGTCGGCGGAGCGTCTGCTCGCGGTCGGCCTCGGCGACGCCCACGTGCCGGCGAGCGAGCACGGCGGGACGGCGCGCGACTTCGCAGCGTGGTCGATCGTCGCTGCCGCCACCGTCGCACGCAGCCTCTGCGAATCTTCCTGTCGTCACGGCAACGCCGGCGGCGGCGGCGGAAAGCCGGACTCGAGTCGTTGTTGCGGCGGCGATAAGGCGCAATGCGGTTGCCACGGCGACAACGGAACGGAAGATGCTACAGAGTCGGTCGAGGAGGAGGGGGATGAGGAGGATGAGGAGGATGAGGAGGAGGAGGAGCTCATGGACGTGGAGGACCTGGGAGTGGCGATGGAGGGAGCGAAGAAAGACGCAGCACGGCGGTCGCAGCTCGGTGGCGACAGCCGCACGAGGGCGCCACGCGCAATGATCACGCCCGCGCTCCGCCAAGCTCTCTCTAAGCAGGGTTACAAGCTCATCGGTTCTCACTCGGGAGTGAAGCTGTGCAGGTGGACTAAGGTAAACGACACGGAGGAAGCCATTGACTCATCATTGTCATTGCAACAAAATAACAAAATAATATAAATTTTGAGATGAATCCAAAATGTTTGGAATATTTGTTGGATTTATCTCAAAATCGAATGTTTTTTGTGTGGTGAAATGACGTCCGACGATATTTTAAATCCTCAATGCTGTCGTGTATGCTGAATCGACTCGTTATAGAACAGACACCTGTCTATAAAGGACAATGTTTCGCATTTCCCTTCAACGACCGTCATATGCGCTCAGAATTATGCAATGTCGACGCAGCTGTGACAGTATGGTGTGTAATGGGAGAATGCTATCGTTGCATCGTTCCATGCTAGTCGCGTTCTCATCGTGTTGGTGCGTGTGTTGTTACAGTCGATGCTGCGCGGTCGTGGCGGCTGCTACAAGCACGCGTTCTCATCGTGTTGATGCGTGTGTTGTTATAGTCGATGCTGCGCGGTCGCGGCGGCTGCTACAAGCACGCGTTCTCATCGTGTTGATGCGTGTGTTGGCGGCTGCTACAAGCACGCGTTCTCATCGTGTTGATGCGTGTGTTGGCGG